TGGTTTTTTTTTTTACCTACTCATCAGGCCACCATAAAACAAACAAACCTTCAACAGACAAAGGGAACTATGTATTTGTATCAAGTTAATGAAAGTGTGTGTGTGTGTGTGTATGAAACTTTATTTGCATCAGCCATCAGCCATAGCAACAAGTATGTGTGATGTGTGTGTGTGTGTGTGTTGAGATTGTATGCAAACCTAAACTGAATTCCCTAAAAGCATAAACTTAAAATTCTGAATCTCCCTAGCAAGTCACAGCATTATTCCTTAATTATCTCCTCGAGGATGATGTTCCTGCAGATAGAACATGTGCCATTTGATCTTTGCAGTGAACATATACATATCTTGTCAGTGCAGCAGGTAGATTACAGTCTTGTGGATGAACTTTCCTGCGTTCCCAAGTAATGTTGCTGAGCATATAATTGTTGTTGTTGTTTAGTCGTTTAGTCGTGTCCAACTCTTCGTAACCCTATGGACCAGAGCACGCCAGGCACTCCTGTCTTTCACTGCCTGCCACAGTTTGGTCAAACTCATGTTGGTAGCTTGGGGAAAACACTGTCCAACCATCTCATCCTCTGTCGTCCCCTTCTCCTTGTGCCCTCCATCTTTCCCAACATCAGGGTCTTTTCCAGAGAGTCTTCTCTTCTCATGAGGTGGCCAAAGTATTAGAGCCTCAGCTTCAGGATCTGTCCTTCCATTGAGCACTCAGGGCTGATTTCCTTCAGAATGGATAGGTTGGATCTTCTTGCAGTCCATGGGGCTCTCAAGAGTCTCCTCCAGCACCATAATTCAAAAGCATCAATTCTTCGTCGATCAGCCTTCTTTATGGTCCAGCTCTCACTTCCATACATCACATAATACAAAGGGCAATATACAATAGTGTGTGCAAGATCTTCAACCTGTTTTTAAATCACAAGGGGAGCTATGCTCAGAATGTGGCTTATGACTTTGCAAAAGAGAGGCTTAGTGGGTTAGGAACAGTTTATTGATGATACCACTGGATATTTTGATTGTTCCTGTAGACAGCAGATCATTGCATCCTCAGCTGTTGAGCAAAAATGGAGGAGAATAGCTGGATCAGCTGGTATTCAAAGCGCAATTCATTGTCAAGGCAACATGTTTGGGAGATAAAACGTGACTGTAGAGAAGAACAGTCATATTTGAGAAGTGACATACAGTGGTACCGCAGGTTACAGACGCTTCAGGTTACAGACTCCGCTAACCCAGAAATAGTGCTTCAGGTTAAGAACTTTGCTTCAGGATGAGAACAGAAATCGTGCTCTGGCGACACAGCGGCAGCGGGAGGCCCCATCAGCTAAAGTGGTGCTTCAGGTTAAGAACAGTTTCAGGTTAAGAACGGACCTCTGGAACGAATTCAGTACTTAACCCGAGGTACTACTGTATTTGAGAAATGACTATTCCATAGTCCTTAGCCAATAATGGCTGATAGAAAAATTATGGAGATACAGTGTTGTAGTGAAATAATATCTGAAATGCTGGCATGAGTTGCGATAGTTTTGTTTTCAGTCTGTCCCCATCTTGTCTCCCAAACCCCCACCTTCCTTGTACCCATTTCTCAATCCTAGAAATGGCATTACTGGTTGCAGCTCCTGGTGGCACCATGGCGTTCAGGAATATGCGATGATGGCAGGATGACATTATGGGCTGTGACATTACACAGATGTAACAGTTATCATGCCTTGTGGTGTGCATTCCCATGCAACTATAATAAATTAAAGAGGAACTGGTGCTAATTTGCGGCATTTTTATGCTGCAGATGTTGAGCACCGGTCCTTGACAATAACATTCCAGTCTGCTAGGTGCCACCCTCTCAGATCTACCCTGAAAGCAAATCTCAAGTTTTTGAATTTGCGTAGCAAATTGAATTGTTTACTTGGAAAAACACATCATATCTCTAAAGAACTCTGGCTCCAACACTTGATGGAAAATCAAAAGAGATGAGTTCATTTACCATTTTGGCCCACGCTAATCCGGGGAAACAACTCTGTCAATTTAAGCTGTTTCGGCATAATGAGGAATTTGCATCACAAATTCACGAGTTGCCCATTACAAAGTCATGACTAATTTATAAGCAGCAAAATGCTTGGTGAATTCGAATGCAAAGTTCAAAGTTGCGAAAATAACACGATTCTCTGTTCTGTTCTTCCTTGTTCACAAAATAGCAAGTTAGTTTCTTTCAGTTCAGCTGGACAGCATGTAGGCCCCCGTGTGCTTTGTCACAACCTGGGTGTGATGTGGGGTTTTCGTGGTTGTCGTTATTGAACCCAGTAAATTGTGAGAGAATGTGGGCAAGCCCATAACAAGGATTTGCTTGAAATTACTCAACACAAATACTGTAGCTAGTGTCTCCAGGTAGCTTTGTAATTTGAAGAAAACTTTGGATGAATCAAAGTGGGAAGTTCTCTGCTCTCAATAAAGTTCCATCAAAACCAGGAACCGAAGACCTTCTGTTTCATAGGTCTGTTTTATGTACCAACCTTGGATCCTAGAACAATAGGCAAGTAGGATCCTAGAATGCAACAACTGATTGGCTTGCAGGAGAAGGCCAGTCAGGCTCCAGGAAGAAGTTAATCAGCCCATTAGGCTGGTAGAATAGTAGAATGCAACAACTGGTTGGCCTGCAGGAAAAGACCAATCAGGCTCCAGGAGGGAAGCAGAATCAGCCAATCAGACGGGACTCATTGTGTAAATAATGTATATAAAAGCCTGAGGTTTTGGGGGCAATTCAATCACTGTTTTACAAGCTGCAATATAAAGAGCATGAAATCACTACAGGACTCCAAGTATATTTCAGGTAGGCAAACTAAGGCCCCGGGGGCCATATCCGGCCCAATTGCCTTCTCATTCTGGCCCACGGAAAGTCCAGGAATCAGTGTGTTTTTACATGAGTAGAATGTGTGCTTTTATTTAAAATGCATGTCTGGGTTATTTGTGGGGCATAGGAATTTGTTCACACCCCCCCCCCCCCCCGCAAAAAAAATATATAGTCCGGTCCCCCACAAGGTCTGAGGGATAGTGGAAGGGCCCCCTGCTGAAAAGGTTTGCTGACCCCTGTTCTATTTCAAGCCCAAAGTGTTATACTCTCTTGCAACGTCTGGCGCATCAGCAATTGCTTGGGTTCATCACTGCCTTGCTTGGGTTCTCTTCTGCCCATCTAGTATTAGTAGGGCAGCTAAAAATTAGGCAATGCATTACAAAGAGGAGGTGAAAAGAGGACATGGATTTGCATTAATTGTATATGTGCTAATTAAATTAGATGTAAATTAAAACAACAACACTTAGTCATTTAAATAGAAGTAAAAGGCATCCCATAATAGTGGAGAAGACTGTGACCAGATGACCTGCTTTGTTTGTTGTCCAGGTGCCAACTCATGATGCACAATTTCAAGGCCCCTTCTGCTCTCCCGTCTTCAAGCTCTTTATCTTTAAACCAGACTTAGACTGGAAAGTGCTTCAAACAGAAGACTACTTCACGTAGAGAACTGTCCCCTGATAGCCCTTCAAGAGTAGAAGGTAAAGTAATATGTCCATAGCCCTAGTTTTACTCAATTTTCTGGTTGATGCCTGCATTCTGCACCAAGAGCCATTTCCAATCACTTTTCTTAGACACTCCCACTCTCAAGGTACATTATAGTCATCCAATCTGGGTGTTGCTACAGTATGGATGATCGTGGCCAAACTAGGACATCAGCTGAACTGCACACCACACCAGTAGAAATATCCCCCAGAGTCATCTGAAAACCATTTGGATCCATCAGTCTAAGGGTTGACTACTGAAATTGGTCCCTTATCCCCTGCAGAATTTTGAGGATGCTATGAGGCTACACATCACCAAATGATGATCTGCCCATGCCAATGAAACATACCTATGTTCCTGAGTCAAAATCTCAGATCCCCTCCCTCCTGTCCAGTAAGGTAAAGGGACCCCTGACTATTAGGTCCAGTTGTGACCGGCTCTGGGGTTGCGGTGCTCATCTCGCTTTATTGGCCGGCGTACAGCTTCCAGGTCATGTGGCCAGCATGACTAAGCCGCTTCTGGAGAACCAGAGCAGCGCACGGAAACGCCGTTTACCTTCCTGCTGGAGCAGTACCTATTTATCTACTTGCACATTGATGTGCTTTCAAATTGGTAGGTTGGCAGGAGCAGGGACCGAGCAACGGACGCTCTCCCCGTCACGGGGAATCAAACCGCCAACCTTCTGATCGGCCAGTCCTAGGCTCTGTGGTTTAACCCACAGCGCCACCCGCGTCCCATCTCCTGTCCAGTACAAAGCACCAAATCAAGGATGTGACCTGCCAAATGTGTAAGATCAGATGATCTAATCTGAGACAGACCCATGGTTGCAATGGAGGCCATGAAATACTGACAGAGGGAGCCTTGTCATAAATGTTGAAGTTTCCTCAAATCAACCAGTTCCTCCAACAGCACCCTCAAACCATCTCCATCAGCTCAGACACAGAAACTGTTCGCAGTGGAACAGATGGCATCCTAAGAGAATGTCTATCCTGTCTCAAGAGCTCAGTACCGGCTACAGAGAGGTTTCTGGGCAGAAATCTGGCGAAGGAGATGGGATTGTGGTAGACTGTGACAACTCTTCTCTCAGCCCTTAGAGCCTTGGCTAACACTGTACCACAATACTTGTTGGGAACAACTGAGCGAAACAAACCTCTCACTCATGCCAGGTCACTATGTTCATCCAGAATTCTTGGCGTCACATGGTTTACCAGCATTGACTGATCTGATGTTAATTCACTATTACTACTAAGATGGATCAGGGAGCCCCAAGCTCAGAGAAGGACCAGAGGGGTTCACAGCCTACAGCTGCCTGATCTCCTTTCTCCTTCGTTGGTCCATTCACGAATAATCTCCAACCACCAACACACTACCAAGCACAGGACTAGCCTTCCCACTCACTTGAATTCCAAGACAACCCCACCCCACATACCGTATTTTTCACTCTATAAGATGAACCCGACCATAAGACCATAGTTTTAGAGGAGGAGAACAAGAAAAAAAATATTCTCTCCCCCTCTGCACAGCGCTTCTCCAGCGAAGCAGTCAGAACAGCAAGAGGGATCGCGAAAGCAGCGATCCCTCTTGCTGTTCTGGCTTCTGGGATAGCCGCGCCAAGTCTCTTCAGGGCAGGGGGAGCGTTCCTCCCATTGCCCTGAAGAGGCTTCGCGCGGCTATCTCTGAAGCCAGGAGAGCGAGAGGGATCGCTGTGCACCGATCCCTCTCGCTTTCCTGGCTTCAGCGATAGCTTTGCAGCCTGCATTCGCTCCATAAGACGCACACACATTTCCCCTTACTTTTTAGGAGGGGAGAAGTGCGTCTTATAGAGCGAAAAATACGGTAATTTGCATTTGCATTGCATTTCCTAGTAGAGATTTGAATCTTTTTCTTTTAATGTAAGAATGCTTAACAATTGAACTCACAGTAGACGTCGTACTAATTATACTATCTGGTGGGGGAGATATGATGGAGGGGGTGGAATACATGGAAGTAACCTCTCAGAATGGGTGCATGTTACATATTTTTAAGGCACCCCAAAAAATTCACACAAAGGCAGAAGAGAGAGAAAACAAACGGGGCATTCCTGGTAACTAGAGACAGCTGAGTCCTGTTTGCTCAGACAATTCACAGTCACATATGGGAGAGAGAAGGGCTGCCTCTGCTGGTCCTATACCACAGCTTAGCTGCTGGCCTTTCACATCCTGACAGCTGGGGGAGGACATGTCTATAGAGGGGAGCCTACTCTGCAGACATAAGGATCCTACCCTGAACACAGAGGTTCTGAATAGGAAATACAGAGCAACCCCCCTTTCATGTACGTGCTCACATCCCACAATCCATGGACAGCAAGGGGACGAGATGTATATCTGGGACCAGCAACGTGTGGTGAGATCCTGCTCTCCCCCTCATGCGATCATGACTTGCATAAGGGATAATACCCAAACAGGGCTTTAAAACTCATAGGATCTAAGTGAAAGTGATATCCATTTCACTTAAGTTTACATGGACAGATAACTCATTGCATGTATTAATGTACTTACTGAATTCTAAGATAATGGTTTGCAAGAAAACAGAGCACACTTTCATAGTGGACATTTAAAATGTGATTGAAAACTCATGCTATTAACCTCTGGTTATTTCCTCATGGGGGGTGCCAATCTCCCCACTCTGTGTTTTCACCTATAATTCTTTCATTTTTGCCCACTTCTCTCAGAATGGCTAGGACGGAAACAAGAACGAGATACCTGGAGCCTTGGATGATTGCGCTGATTGTGCTAGCAGCATTTGCAGTCGTAGCCCTTGTTGTCGGCCTGCTGGTTTATTTTTTGGTGTACGGTGAGTGCATCAGCTGTTACCAATCCATCTGGCCTGAACTGCTCTCTGTTTTCAAGCTTTTCAAACGTTAAAAGGGTCTCAAACAGGCTTTGTGATCAAGACAACCTCTAGCCCAGGGCATGGACCCTGGAACATGTGCTTTGAGGTTCTGCAGGGTGCCGTTGTCTCCCCAGTGCTGTTTTACATCTATATGAAGCCATTGGGAGTGGACATGAGGAGTTTTGGAGCACAGTGTCTCCATATGCCAGTGGTGGCAAACCTTTTAGAGACCTAGTGCCCAAACTGCAAATCAAAACCCACTTATTTATCGCAAAGTGCCCAGAGTTGTTGAGATTTTTGTTGAGGTTATTTTTTGGGGGGGCTCTCCAAAGTTGTTGAGCTTTTCAGGAGGAGCGGCTGACCAAAATTTTGGAGCTTGGGGGGGGGTTGCAAAAGTTGTTTTGCTTTTGGGGGGACGACGCCCCAAAGCTGCTGAGCTTTTTGGGGGGGAGAGAGAACAATGACAAATAATACCTAACTAACGTGCAGCTCGAACTAATGCCCCACAAATAAAATAACCCAGAGATGCATTTTAAATAAAAGCACACATTCTACTCATGTAAAAACACACTGATTCCTGGACTGTCCGCGGGCCGGATTTAGAAGGCGATTGGGCCAGATCCGGCCCCCGGGCTTTAGTTTGCCTACCCATGCTTTAGTGTCATCAGCTCAGTATTATGAAATATTCTGCCAGTGGAGATTCAAGTAGGTGCCTTCTGTGCCAACTTTAAATGCCTGATGAAAACTTTTTTATTCCACCAGGTCTATGTAGGCAATGAACTTCCCACAACAGTTAGCTGATTTCTGATTTTAACTTTTTGTCTATGTTTTTACTGTGTGGTTGTATGGGTTATTACTGTAAACGGCTGTGATACGTTTTATGAATAGCAGTAAACAAATATTTCTATGGACAAATAAATATGCTTTAAATTTATGGTGTATGGATGCAGCCTGGGGCACCGTACATATTCCTGAAAGGCAGGAAGCAGCCTGCTACTCTTCCTTCTCTGCAGAGAGAGATATGAAAGCACTCTGTTTCAGAGTTAAAAACACAGAGCGCCTCTGTCAGGGACTGCTCACCTCTGCGCCACGATCTTGTAGATAGCATGAGCCACATTGGGGCGAAGTAAAGAGAAGATGAACATTGTTTAACGTCTTCCTTTCCTCCTCTTCCTTTGTTGCAGATCAGAAGTTGTTCTTTTACAATGCTTCCTTTAGAATCACTAATCAGCCATACCAACCAAGTTTGGAAAAACAGACCTCAAAAGAATTTAGAGACCTGAGCTCTACCATTGAGACTATTGTAAGTGAAAATGGCTTTCTTTCTTTCTCCCTCCCTCATTCTAAACACCACTTTTTGTGCAAAAAGAAAAATAACTGACGAAACCTGGGGTGACATGAGGAATAAACCAGATTGCCTGTGCTGATCGCTGAAGAATTGATGCTTTTGGACTATGGTGCTGGAGGAGACTCTTGAGAGTCCCATGGACTGCAAGAAGATCCAACCTATCCATTCTGAAGGAAATCAGCCCTGAGTGCTCACTGGAAAGACAGTATACTGAAGCTGAGGCTCCAATACTTTGGCCACCTCATGAGAAGAGAAGACTCTCTGGAAAAGACCCTGATGTTGGGAAAGATGGAGGGCGCAAGGAGAAGGGGACGACAGAGGACAAGATGGTTGGACAGTGTTCTCGAAGCTACCAGAATGAGTTTGACCAAACTGCGGGAGGCAGTGGAAGACAGGAGTGCCTGGCGTGCTCTGGTCCATGGGGTCACGAAGAGTCGGACACAACTAAATGAATAAACAACAACAAAGCCTGGGCACAGCAATCTAGAATCTGATGCAAAGTTATCAAGGGCTATTCTTGTAAGACTGGCCATAATTTTAGCGGGATCGTGAAGTATTCTTTTTCTCTCAGCTGTTTTATTTACCAGCCATGTGTTTACTATCCTTAAAAAACCCCGCAAACCCTAAACCTTCTTCATAAATTGCGAAGTACAGAATGACAAACACCACATGATGATGATAAAAAACAATAGCTAAGTTTACAGAGATCGCAAGTTATTTCGATTAATTCTGTGGCGCAGAGATTTTCAAATGTGTGTGAAATTTTTCTGAGGCATTCTGGTATGTGCTTGCCTAACAACCTTTTCCTTCCTTTCTTCCTTTCAACAGATTAATGAGGCATTTGAAGGTACTCCATTGAAGAAAAGGAAGATCAAATCGCAAGTCGTAAATTTACGGTATGTAAAGCAAATGTTTTATGGCCAAAAGTGAAGTTTGGAATACAGTGGTACCTCGGGTTACATACGCTTCAGGTTACAGACTCCACTAACCCAGAAATAGTACCTTGCTTCAGGATGAGAACAGAAATTGTGCTCCGGCAGCGCAGCGGCAGCAGGAGGCCCCATTAGCTAAAGTGGTGCTTCAGGTTAAGAACAGTTTCAGGTTAAGAACGGACCTCCGGAACTAACTAGGTACTTAACCCGAGGTACCATTGTAAATTTAACTGTAAATCAGCTTGCCCAAGATGTCTTTAGACACTGAATTGGCCTTACCTTCTAGTTGCAATGGGGAACCTTTTTCCTTTTGGCCCAAGGTCTGAATTTACTCTTGGGGGCTGCACTTGCACGCCAGGAGTGGATATGGCCATTCCAATCCCTGCTCAGATTGATCTGATGACCAGGGGGGTGGCATGGCAAGCTGCCCACGAAGTCTGCCTGGCCATTTCGGGCAGCGCGGGGCCCCGACCCACTGAGTCCCAGAGGAGACACGTGGCTCGGGCGTGCTGCAGGCCAGGCCCTGTGGTAAGTGCCACCCCCTGCGGTGTGTCATTTTGTCACCCCCTCAGGGATGACATCCGGGGTGGACCACACCCCTCCCTTCCTACGTGTCACAGTCCGGTTCATGGCTGGTTGAAGTCCCAGCTGGGGACATCGGGACCAGGGGCAAGATGGCGGGGTGGGAGCAGGAACCGGAGTCCAGAAGCCAGGAGTCAGGAAGCCAAGAGTCCAAGGGTCAGAGAGCCGGGAGTCAAGAAGCCAAGGGTCCGAGGGTTAGGAAGCAAGGAGTCACGAAGTCAAAGGTCTGAGGATCAAGAAGCGAGGAGTCACGAAGTCAAGGGTCCGAGGAGCAAGGAGTCAAACACAGCAAGGCAGGGGAACGTGTTGCTGTGGCAAAGAACTAAAGGGAAATGCTGACCTTATATCCCTTCCCAGCTCTTGCCAGCAAGCGCTGTGAGTTACCAATCGGCCTCACCTGTGCGGCCGCGCCTTGCCTCTGCAGAACAAACTTAGAAAGGCCCCAGTCCTGCAAAGTCCTGCTGGTCACAGGGCCTGGCTCCTGCACGCACGCCTGACACTACGCCCCTGGGGAGGAGGCCATTTCCACTTCCATCAGGGAACTGTGTATAGGTTCTCCCCAGCATATTGACGCATCCCTTTTGTTTATTACTCATTCCATTTTAATTATGTACACATCATGACTCAGTTTCTGAGTCTGCTGTTCAAATGATGATGAGATATGATACTGCGTTCCACTTTTACGCTGTTATTTACCCAAAAAATCAGAGAAGCTTACAGGTAGTTCCTACGCAGTACCCCATGGTAGCAACTTACAGGGCCAGACCTGCTTACTTTCGCCAGCATTAATTTTATTCCTTTCATCCCACACTTCTTCCAAAGAGTTCATTATGGTCTGTGCAGTGGGGCAAATGGGTCTTGTGCTTTTCTCTCACACACCTCGGACTGGTTATTGGTTATGGGCTCATTAACTTGATTGCTCTCCAGTGAAATTGGATGCCTGATGTTTTTTTAATGGCTTTGCCTTGGGCTTTGCCAACAGCGTATTTAAATACAAATACCACCCTCTTCTCAGTTATAAATCCAGCTGCCGGATTTTAAAAGTAGGTGGGATGATTTAAAAACCATTAATCATTCCGTAGCTCTATAACTTTTTAGATGTTTATAAAGATAACCGTGCCTGACTCGCTGTGCTGGGAACAGATGACTTGCAAGAAATGGGAATAAATTTCCATCTTCTTGCTTGTGTGTGTGTGCACCTGAGGAAATGAAAATGGCAATATCCAAGGTGAGAAATGGTGGAGTCTAGAGGCAGACGCCACAAACAGTTCCACCAGGGCTCCACAGAGCCAGGCTTTTACATCTGCATCATGTAATCTATGACTAATAGGATGGATGAGGTGGCTGTCTCTCAGGTTCAAGGTGTCACTAAGGACAGCAAGTGGGAGAGAGACAGATATGATCTGAGGAATACATCATGCACAAGTCCTGTTAAAATGAATGGAAGCTTGCCAGGACACAGTTTTGGGGTGGTAGACTGATTGAAAATCCCACCCACCTCAGAACAGGTTGCTGTCCTAGTCACAAGGGAGGCCCATTCTAGTCCTTTTTCGGGGAGCTAAAATTGTTTGGTGGGGCTTACACCCCGTGGTTGAATTGCCCTTCTCTCTCCCTACCCCTTTTCAACTTTTTCAAAGCTCCTCTCAGAATGCAGCTCATTTTGGCAACCAGGGAAAGAGGCTTTGCTCCTAGAGGAGCTAAAAACAGCTGGTGCACCTTCCAAAAGTAAGACCCCAGAAACTTTTCGGAGACTCCCACCCTCAAGTTTCGGAGGGTACCCCAAAATGTCTTGTTTGAGCAGTGGTGTAGTGGGAGGGGGCATGGGGTGGTTGCCCTGGGCACAAAATTGTTAGGGGTGCAAAATGTCAACACCCAGTTCTCCCTGCGTGCCTCCGTTGCTGGTCTCTGTTGAAAACGGCTTCTCCCTGAGACCCAGGAAGTGACCTCTCCAGATACTGGAACTCTTCCTTTCTTATCTCTGTGGCTGTGATCTGCTGGGTGACATGGATGCCGTTAGGCAGTTGAATCCGTTTCTCTCCCACTACCCTCTACACAGCCCTGGACTCTGGCAACCCATGCTACACCACTGTGCTTAAGAACTATTGCTCAGCAATATTTCTTACACAGCCCCCGTTCATTCTTGAGTTATGCAAGAAGGGAGAACATCTGGGCAGTGGAGGCTAGTCCATTAGGGCCAAGTGGGCACTCCCCCAGCCAGCTTAGCTTGCCCTCAGCCAGCCTCTACCTCCTTACTTACAACCAGGCTGATGGAGGTGGTAAGCACTGCCGATACAGCCTCCTCCTCCTCATTCCCTACATGTTGCCTTTGTGGAACCCAGGAAGGAGAAGGATGAGACCAAAACTCGAATTACTGGCTCTGGGCTCCACCTTCCTTCTGCCTTATCAGTCCAAATGGGTGACAGCCTCCATTGCATCCCAGCGAACTGTGTACCATATCAATTAGTAGGAGGTGGAGATGCTTTTTCATTTTCTTCCACCTCAGTAGCCCAGATGTCCTGGGCCAGCCTCGCCTATGCAGAAAATTCTAGTAGACGATACCCCGGCTTGTGGGATCAGCTGTCTGAGGCTTTGTTTTTCTTTGCAGTGAAGACAACAATGGCGTGCTTGCAGACGTGGTGCTGGTGTTTAGGTTCATTGCCTCGGATAGGAAAGAGGCCCTCTGGATGAGTGTGAACGATCTTTTGCTGAGGAGGCTGAGGTTGCCAACATGGCCCTTGAGAATTGACCTTTCATCTTACAAGCTCAGAGGCAAGTGTCAGACATTATTACCTTTTAAAATCTTGACTGGATTCCTCCCACCACGTTTTCCTTTCTCTGCTTTGTGCCCTGAAGCATATGGTGTTGCCTCATAAATTTATTACCTGCTCCCCTTCCTTGCTTCTCGTGGACAAACTGCCCCCATTGATTTTGCTATGGAGCCATCTGCTAAGCTCTGCCCCGGCCACAATTTCCAGCCTGCCAAGTTTACCCTTGTCTTCCAGCTCATGCCTTGCATTTCATCAGCTGTCCCAGCTGGCTGTGCTCAGGAATTACGCAATCATACAGGACGAGGGGGACACGTGTGGCGCTGTGGGTTAAACCACAGAACCTAGGACTTGCTGATCGGTTGGCAGTTAGAATCCCCGCGACGGGGTGAGCTCCCATTGCTTGGTCCCTGCTCCTGCCAACCTAGCAGTTCAAAAGCACGTCAAAGTGCAAGTAGATAAATAGGTACCGCTCCAGTGGGAAGGTAAACAGCGTTTCCGTGTGCTGCTCCGGTTCGCCAGAAGCAGCTTAGTCATTCTGGCCACATGACCAGCTGTACACCGGCTCCCTCAGCCAATAAAGCGAGATGAGCGCTGCAATCCCAGAGTCGGTCATGACTGGACCTAATGGTCAGGGGTCCCTTTACCTTTACCTTACAGGATGAGGGGTTTACATACCGGGGC